TTCTATCCAGGTCGTCACCCTGGCTGATTATGACCGTGTGGAAGAGGCGACCAAGGATGGTGCCAAGAAATCCCCTTCCCCGGGCTACCCGCTCATCTGTGTCACTCCCTGTGACCCTCACTTCCCCAAGTACGCCGTCATGAAGGAGCGCTGCAGTGAGGCTGGCATCAACCAGTCGTCCATACAGTTCAGCTGGGAAGTAGCAACCCCCACGGATGGGAACGGGGCCAGGTCACCCTTTGAAACAATCACCGACAACACGCCGTTCACCAGCGTCAACCATAAGGTGCGTGGCTGGGTGTTGGCATGGAAGGGCTTGCAGAAGCACGTGGCAAAAGTCAGTAGAGGGCTTGGGGCAGCTGTGTCGGCTGTGCGTTGTGTGATCACTCATATGGGAAATTTGGCACTGAAAAAAAGTGGCTGTGCCTGAAGGGGAGCCCAACAGGCTGCCGTGAGCTGTGGTGCCAGCTTTTGGCGGTGCCGTTGGCTGCTTCCTTTCCATCCTGTTCAGGTTGCAGGAGGGGCTGAGCTCGATTTAGGCGCCACTGTTCCTTCAGGCAGTCGTTTGCTGCTTTGCTCCATGTGTGGCCTGGGCCCTGTCTGTCCCTGGATGTTCACGTCCTGCCCCACAATCAGAACTGCTATTTTCCTCTAGGTGCTCCCAGCTGTGGTGTCTCAGCTCTTCTCAGGCATCCAGCTCTGTTTCTACACCATGCACACTCATGCAGGAGTCTGAGCCATGTCTAACGGATGGTGCACAATTTGGTTACACGGAGATTGAGACCTGAAGTCTCCTCAGATTTGGGAGTGAGCACAAGACATGGGGGCCTCTTTGGGGAAATTTATTTTCTTTTGGCTTCCGAAAACTTAGTGCTGTTTCACTGAGCCTGCTGAAAGCACTACTTCTGTCACTGTGGGAAGCAGCTGTGAGCACTCAGACACTTGAGTAAATCCCTGGTGGCAAGGGACAGATGGAGCTTGGCAGGTCATAAAGAGCTCGGGCTCCCTCTTCCCCTTCCATCAGTACGTGGGCAGACTTAAGTAGCTGTAAAGCACCCAACAGATTCGAGCATCTTTTTCAGCACGGGTGACAGTCGCACCTGCAACCTCTGGCCAGGCAGACACCAGCACTCACATGCTCCCATTTTGCACGTGCAGTTGTCTGCCTTGCCTCAAAACACCGGGACAATGTGATTTTGCCACGCTGAGAGCAGTAATGCTGGTGTGTTTGACCCACGTGCACCTTTCTCTCCCCTTGCTCCCTGCAGGTGCTGGACAGCATTTATTTCAGCCGGCGCTTCCACGTGCGCTGCGTGGCCAAGGCTGTGGACAAAGCCGGCCACGTGGGCACCCCCCTGAGGAGCAACGTGGTCACTATAGGGACGGACAGTGCCATCTGCCACACTCCCGTAGTCGCGGGGACAGCCCGAGGTTTCCAGGCCCAGTCGTTCATTGCCACTCTGAAGTACCTGGATGTCAAACACAAGGAGCATCCCAACAGGTGTGAACCCGGAGGAGGGGAGCGAGGAGACCCCACGTCCCTTTGCACACCCCCTGAACAGCGCAGGGGACTGAGGGAAGCGCTCCCACTCTCTTCCTTGCGCCCTGCCCTGCCACAGGGGTGTCCTTCCTCTAAGGAAATGGGAGTTGGTGGGACAGTGTGAGGGGCGGGTGTGTAGATGGGGGAATCTGGCTGTACCTAAATATGAGATGGCCAGTACAGGGCTTGCCCTGTCTGTGCTGCGCTGCTGCATGATGGGTAGTGCCTGAGGCTCCCGTGCCTGCCGGGCCGTCCTTTCTGCTGCCTCATCCAGGATGATGTTTGATGTTTGTTCCAGGATCCACATCTCGGTGCAGATCCCTCATCAGGACGGCATGCTGCCCCTCATCTCCACCCTGCCGCTGCACAATCTGCATTTCCTGCTCTCCGAGTCTATCTACAGACACCAGCACGTCTGCTCGAACCTGGTCACCATCAGAGACCTTAAAGGCATCTCCGGTAAGTTTTAAAGCCAGCTTTTGTTTTCTGAACTGGGGAGGAGGAGGAACCAGTAAAGAAACGCAGAGTAGGCTCTGTCTTCCTCTGAGCTCTCCTGACATGATGCAAATAATATTTCCTGTAGCAAATAATCTTCCTGTACTAACAGCAGTGAGCAGAGTTGCCCTGCTGAAGATGAGATGCAGTGCGTAGGAAATGGTTACATTACAGTGGGGTTAAACAGCATTGCTGTGAAGGCCTACACGTGTTCTGTTTGACCACGGGGGTCACAGAGAGGAGCCAGGAAGTCCCCAGCGTGTTAAAAGTCACCAGCATGACCTGAGACTGAAAATGGGACTTCAGTACATGGCCTCAAACTCTTCAAAATCTGGACTGATCAGTGTCCTGATGTCTCTTAATCCCAGAGGCAGGGTTCCTGGATGAAGTAACGTACGATAGCATCATTCTCGGCCCTGGCTATGACCGCCCTTACCAGTTCGACCCCACGGTGAGAGAGCCAAAGACAATCCAGCTCTACAAGCACCTCAACCTGAAGAGCTGCATTTGGACCTTCGATGCTTATTACGACATGACTGAATTAATTGATGTCTGCGGAGGCTCTGTGACAGCTGACTTCCAGGTGAGATGGCACATCCACAGCTCTTTCACGTCATCCAGATCTTTGTCCATTCTAAGGCAAAGCTCCATTGCGTGTTTGTGAACATTTACTGGGTATTTTTGCTGCTCTGCTCTGTACAACTGAAGCACATTTTCCCCCTTTTAGCAAGAGAAGAATAATGCTTTGTGAAATGCACTTAATTAATTTGTTTTGGTCGGGGCGACATGGGCTTTATTCTCAGAGAGCCTGTAAAATATTTTTTGTTAGCATCAGGGTATGTTAGAAATACAAAACGTTCACACCTGCGCTCTATTCTTTTACAACTTCGACCGTATCCTTAGCCAATATGAATGAGCAAAGAGCAGAGCAGAGGCCCAGCAGTTTGTACTCCTCAATGGGGTTTCAGTGGTCATAGGAGATTTAAGGTAATGTCTTAATTAACTAACTGACAGACCAAAAGACAGAAATGCTCTCTTGTAACAAACAGTGGCTTTTGCTACTAAGATGTGTCTCACTGCCCTCTCGTGGCTAGATTATACGTGTACATCTCTCTCAAGTGAGCATCTCATCTGCGTTAGATTCTTGTACTGAATTCCCAGTCAGAATGTTATGGCCAACATAATCTATTTTAATTCCTGCCGGTCTGAAATAGTTTGCTAACTTTCTCTTTATAGCTCCAATTATTTGCACAGATCCAGAGAAGCTCCTTGAACCAAGCAGCTGCATAATTTAGTATGTGGAGACTGGCACCAGCCCCTCTGGCATGTCTCTTCTTGAGCTGTCTCGGGGGCTTGCAGAGTGCAGCTGCACTCCACAGATAAATGCTGTATGCACAGCTGGAGAGCTGTGGCGTTCCAGGTGCTCCTAGGGGCGGTTCTGAGCAAGCAGAATCGCTTATTTTTAAAGGGGAAAAATTTTGAGCTAAAGTTGTGACCATAGCTCCTTTTGTCAGGTGTGTTAATGACAGGCCAGTGATAACCTTTTGGTGTATCAGCTTATTGAAAAGTGCAAATTGCTGCATTATGGTGAGTTTGGGATGCCCCAGGAGACTGCAGGCAGCTTCATTTATGTCCATTGCAGGTACTCAAATCCACACACTAAGGGGTCTAGAGTGATGCATACGCTCTTATCTGATCCTGGACTCAAACTTGAGCTTTCTTGCCTCTTTGGAGAAGCCCGGCGAGGGTTTCCACCATCACTTACTGAGCTTCAGGTTCACAGTGGGAGCAGAAAACCTCCTAGACTCCAGGGAGGAGAGGGCTGCTTTGAGCCCTTTCCAAAATTCTGCTCTCTGTTGGTCAGAGACATTACTTACTTGTTTATCATCCAGTTAATGCAAACAAAAGTCACTCATTTTTCAAAACAACCTTTAACAAATCTATTCCTGTTGTGTGATACAGCAGAGTAGCATTCCCCAGCCTGCTCGTGCCTGTGCCACAGCCCGTGTGATGCAGGGGTACTGAGGATGCTCGGAGGTGCAACAGCGTGCAGTGACCCGTGCTGCTCTCCTCCATGCATGTCTCACCCCACTACACTGCAGTCTGCAATGTGGATGCAGATGTTTTGTTCCTACAGTGAATAGTTTAGGCACCAAGGGGAAGGCAAAACGACTTGCATCTATGTGCTTTCCCTATTTGCAGAGCAAAACACGAATGAAGTGGGTGCTGTGAGTCCAGGCCAGTGTCTCTCCTTTGCAAAATGCATAGCCACTTACTGGGTTTTATTGACAGGTACGGGACTCTGCTCAGTCCTTCTTAACCGTCCACGTCCCTCTCTACGTGTCCTATATTTACGTGACGGCACCGAGAGGTTGGGCCTCTCTTGAGCATCACACAGAGATGGAGTTCTCCTTTTTCTACGACACTGTTCTCTGGAGGACAGGTAGGTCCCAGGCATTGGAGGGGGGCACAGGAGAATTTCTTTGTTCTGTTTTTCCATTTTCTTAGTTTCTGCATTGCCACTGCAGTCCCGATTTATTTACAAATATACCCAATACCCTATACCGAATTTATTTATTTATCTTTCTCACAATATCTGGAGCTTGTGCGCTGTGAACCCGTGCCTGCAGCCCTGAGGGGTATTGCTGCTCCTGTTGGCACCTTGGGTTTCACCCTGGCGGTGGTGATGCCGAGTATCCCAGAGGAGGGACACTCAGGGGCTATGGCCAGGAGCACCCAGAAGCAGTCATTCCCAACAGCCACCTCGGTGTATAGCTGGTGTAAAACAAGGCACATTCAAGGCATGTAAGGGGAAGTTCATGAATTTGCTTCCTTAAGGCTTGAGTGAAACACGGACAATGGAGGAAATTACAGCTGGCATGCTGCGGGGTGCTCCCAGTCAAGCTGAGCCTTTCTGGAGCTCTCTCAAATGCTTCTGGAGCTACCTAGGGCTGACAGACCTCACCTGGGGACTTGTTGTGCCACGTGGCCTCTCCAGTGACTCTGTTCTTGCTGCACCACACAGGGATTCAGACAGACAGCGTCCTTTCAGCCCGGCTGCAGATAATCAGGATCTACATCCGCGAGGATGGCCGGCTGGTTATCGAGTTCAAGACCCAGGCCAAGTTCAGAGGTGAGAGCACTGTGAAAATACAGATCGGTTCTGAAGACTCAGGCAGGAAAACAAGCCACGACTAAGGACAGCATTCATGTTCAAAGGGAGTATTTCTGCCCAAGAGCCAGTTTGCTGTTCCTCTCAGGAGCCTCTTGACCTAGAAATACTTCGTCTAGCCAGTCTGCTACTACTGAAAGCTAAAAACTGCACCTGGGTGGGAGGGAGGCACCAGCAGCTGCTGCTCTGAGCAGGCTCTAAAGTCGCTCCTGGAGAGACACTTGGGGTTCCCCTGTGCTGAGGTGTGCAGCACAGGGTCTGCCAGTGCTCCGCCTGAGCTGTCACCTCCTTGTCCTCGCCACAGGGCTCTTTGTGATGGAGCACCACAGCCTGCCCGATGTGAAGTCGTCTCTAGTGACTCCAGACCACCTGGGAGGGATCGAATTTGACCTGCAGCTGCTGTGGAGCGCTCAGACTTTCGACTCTCCCTACCAGCTCTGGAGAGCAACCAGCTCCTATAACAGGTGAGGACAGCGGGCTCAGCTTCCCAAATCCTAACCCTCTTCCTAAGTAATCAGCGTGCACGTAATTAGCAGTAGCAGAGCAGTTTCAAATCCTGGCCAGAGAGTACAATCCCTGTTGCCCTTTCAGCAGCCACAGACACAGCAAGCATGGAGTGCCCAGGAGCCAGCTTTATGCAGGGGTTCAGAGCTAGAGCACGCAGGGTGCTGCTGTCACTGCTGGAAACACTGCTCTGTCAGTTGTGTGAGTAGTGGGGGAAAAATACATCTTGTAAAGGCATTTTTCTAGGAATTAGCTAACGTGTAAGTAAATACCAGGGTGACAGTATATTCAAGGTTGTTTTTGCAGTCTTCAAGTTAAAGCAGATTCACATTCACAACCCACTTAACCGTTAGTGCCAACCAACTTAACCTCCTTGGAGGAGAGAGGTATGTCCAGAACTAGAAATAGTTGGTTCACTTTAAAAAAAAAATTGTTTTTGTTATTATTTCTGTCTGTGACTGTTTCTTCTTTCATCTGTGCTCCTTGCACAGAGGGTCAAACTAAACACTGTCAGTCAAATTCATCCCTCCTGCACTTGCTGAAATACACAAATGTTTCTGGGGTTGGGTTATGTCCTGCTTACTTTCCCTAGTTCAAAACCCATGGGTGTTGGGCAAACAGATCAGCTGGGTGAATGGTTTGGAGCCTGGTTTGGTGACCGCAGTGTCTCCTCTCTGTTCTCAGGAAGGACTACTCTGGAGAGTACACAATATTCTTGATCCCCTGTACTGTGCAGCCCACGCAGCCATGGATAGAGCCCGGAGATAAGCCCCTGCCCTGCACGGCTCATGCTCCTGAGAGGTAAGGAGGCACCATCGCCACCTCTGGACCCAGTCTCAGCTGGTTTGGGTTGTTTGCATGGTCCCAGGCAGCCTGCGACAGCAGAACAGCGAGGGCAGGAGCCTGTCTTTTGGACTGTCACACATCTCAGCCTGTGGTTTTCAGCCATGGGGCTGCGGAAGCCTGCACAGCCTTCGGTTGTCCTAGGTGGAATTACAACCAAAACCTATTGTCAGAAGGCTTCAGATGGTTGGGCAGGGCCTGGCACTGGGAAATGGGGCAGGGTGAGGGGAAACATGTAAGCTTGTGTTGAAAACCAGTGTCGTATGGGCTGCTGGGCTATAAAGAGTAAAGCAGGATGGAAGAAAGGTAAAGCAGGTGTAACTTCAAGTCGCCAGTACATAACTTAAGATGTGTTCAAACCAAACCTCACCTTTTTCCTCTCCTGTCCCAATTTCAGATTTTTGATCCCGATTGCCTTCCAGCAGACGAACCGCCCCGTTCCTGTCGTCTACTCCCTAAACACGGAGTTTCAGCTCTGTAACAATGAGAAGGTGTTTCTGATGGATCCCACCAAATCCGAAATGTCTCTGGCAGAAATGGATTACAAGGGGGCTTTTTCAAAGGGTAGGATTTTTTTCATTCCTGTTCCTGGCATGGTGCTGTTTTCAGAACTTCCATTCCTCTGGCAGAGGAGGATAAAGCTCTGATTTGGCTTTGCCTCTTTTACAGCACCAGATGGTATTTGGGCACATCCACAGCCCTGTGATAGCAGGACCAGAATGTGCTCATGGCAGAGCCTTCTGTCATCTGCACACGCACATGTGCAAAACCACAGCCACCTGCAGCTCGATGTGTGTGGCTGTCACAGTGCTTCGTTTGTGGAGCTTCCTGTCACCGCCTTCTTGCTGTCTCTTGGAGAGTTTAACCTGACTTGTTCTCCCAACCTCCCCAGGGCAAATCCTGTATGGCCGCGTGCTCTGGAACCCCGAACAAAACCTGAACGCTGCTTACAAGCTGCAGCTGGAGAAGGTCTACCTGTGCACGGGCAAGGATGGCTACGTGCCTTTCTTTGACCCAACGGGAACCGTCTACAACGAGGGGCCGCAGTATGGCTGCATTCAACCCAACAAGCACCTGAAACACAGATTTCTCCTCTTGGTAAGTTTTCTGCCCTGGACAAAACCACACCATGGAGCGTTACGTGTGATTGTGTCTGGATAAGTCTTGTCTCTCAGTAACCTAAGGGACCTGGGAGCAAAATGATATGCCTGCTTGTGGGGACAGGCTGCACAGCAGGGAGCACTGTGAGGGGTCCGTACTGAAACAATTTGCTTGCAGAGCTCTCCTCTGCTTCTGCTTTGTTTTTTTTCCCCTATCACAAACAAATTCTGACTAAAAAGGGATGAGAAGGGAAATGGGGTGGCTTTTTTGTAGTACCAGGCAGACATGGTCTTATCTTTACAGACTGGGTAGCTTATCCCTTAGTCTAAAGAAAAAACAAATGAGGGAGGAAAAAAGGGGTATACCAAGCTTTTAAAAATTCTCTTGATCTCTGTTTATACCATGGCTTGGAGCTGACAGGACTGGCAGCATATAGAGGATCTATTTATCAGCTACACAGGAATTCTCCTCCGCCATATAAAGCTACAGCTACCTCCCAGCCTGCATGCAGCTCTAATTGCATGCTTTCAAATTACCATCGCTTTCCTTCACCCTGCCACTGAAGCAGCCCCTGAAGGCTGTCTCAGTGCATGATGCTGACAGCACGCACTCCCGCTCTGCTTCCCAGGACCGCAACCAGCCCGAGGTGACAGATAAGTATTTCCACGATGTGCCTTTTGATGCCCACTTCGCTTCTGAGCTGCCCGAGTTTCAGTCAGTGAGCAGCATGCCTGGAGTCGACGGATTTACTCTGAAGGTGGATGCTCTCTACAAGGTACGTACTAAGTGATGGTGGGACACCAAAATTAAACTTCTCTCTCCAGGAATTTCCAAATGCTTTGGATACTGCCTAGAAGAACCAAATTCATGCTAGGGTGGGTCTGGCAGCCTTCTGCAACATAGTGCATTGGCTCTCCTCTCACACTCACCTGCAACAAGGTCTCCCTGAAGCGATGCGGACTCATGTACTTGTTGTGATCTGTGTTTGCAGATCATACTGTGGTAGGCCTCTCCTTGATTTGCCTCAGTCAAAACATGAGGTGAGAAATCAGAGCTCCTCCCAGCTGCGGGGCACGTAAGCTGTGCTGTCCGTGTCTCTGGAGATAGGCAGAACTCAGAGCTTGCAGTTCCCCTTCCCACTCACGAGGGCAGGTGACCTCTGGTGCGATTCTGGTCTGTGCGCGGAGGCTGGCTCTAGCACAAGCCTCAGAGGAGCCGGGCTGATCAGGGCAGAAACCTGCGGGACACAAAGGGAGCTCTCCACAGAGAGCAGAATTCTAGATGGAACCTTTTTGGTCCCTCCCCAGAGAGGCCCTCTTTTTAACCTGGTGACCACTGTCAGCTTAAGCGACTTTGTGGCATTCCTAGGATCACACCGTAAGTTAACAGTGGAGCCAGGTAAGAAGCAAACTCCCACGCAGAAAATGGAGATGAGGAGTTTGTTCTGGTGGTTAAGGCTTTTTTCAAAGGACTCAGGAAAAAAAAGCTCATAAAAGGCAGCTTAGAAATGTTCCCAAATTAATTGCTGTAGTTGCCAAAAGCAGGCAAGAAGACTGAACGCCTCACCTGGCAATAAATATTATTGCTGGTGCTTATTAAAGCACACTGAGATTTTTTGCTGCTATTTGCATGAATCAAAAAAATGGGGAAAAAGCACATCAAGTTCTATGTTTACCAAACCACATCGCTTCATCTAAAGCCTGTAGCAAAGGCTTCCTGTATGCGTCTCCCCTTTCTCACAGGTGGAAGCTGGGCACCAGTGGTACCTTCAGGTCATCTACATCATTGGCCCGGAGAGCATCGCAGGGCCTCGCGTTCAGCGCTCCCTCACTCACCGTGTGAGGCGCAGCCGCAGGGATGTGGCAGACGGCAACGGGAGACTGGTGCTGGACGACTCCTTGATCTACGACAACGAGGGCGACCAGGTCAAGAACGGCACCAACATGAAGTCACTGGTCCTGGAGATGGAGGAGGCCGTGGTCGCAGCCTCCTTATCGCAGACGGGCGCGTCCCTGGGGAGCGCATTCGCTGCCGTCATGCTGCTGGTGCTGGTGCTTCTGGGAGTCTGCCTCGTCACCAGGAGGTGTCGGAAGCTGCGGAGGAAGCGAGAGGCTGCCCAAGCTGCCCCGGAGGAGCATCCCCTGAACACCAAAGTGGAGCTGCCCAAGGGCACGGAGAAGGCGGTGAACAGCCAGTACTGCACCGTGAGGAACATCAACATATTGAGGGAAACGGGGGGTGTCTCCAGCCTAAAAGGTAGGAAGGTGAAGCAGGTGAACTTAGAAGTCAAAGTCCACAACAACTTGTACGACGGAACAGAAGTTTAATGGAGCACATACTTTTGTTTTCTAAAAGCTTTTTATAACTTGTAAAAAAAAGAAAAAACACAAAAATGAAAAACAAAAGGTAAGTAAAACTATGCTGATATTTTTATACTCTCGTGAGAAAAGGAGTGGCTCTGGCTCTGTGTGATGAGCAGCAGTCCAGGCTCCCACTCCTCTGCCTGCGACCAAGCTCCCTCATCACACACAGCTCGTTTGTGCTGGTATCTGAGCAGGGGAAAATGCTGCCGGGGCAGAAGACGCCCGTGAAGGAGGCCTGTATCTGCAGCGTGGCCTCGTTCAGCCCTCACAAGGAAGAGACCGTGGTTCCACGCGGGACCTGGGGGCGCTTTCAGCTATCACTGGGAAACTTGATGCATTTGTGGCACTATTGCTGAGCCTTAAGCACCCCAGTGTGCGCCTGCAGCACATGGGAGCAGTTCCCACCTTCCTCGGGGCGAAAACAAGAAAAGCAACTTATCCTTGTGTAATAGCAGGGGCAGGGTGACTCGCTTTGCTTCTTAAAATGAGGCAAAACTAGACAGAAAACCCACTTGCAAACATGGTGCTCAGTATTTTGGGATTTGGGGATTCGTGTTGCCTAAGCCTCAGGCACTGGCAGCTTGGCTGCAGCCCTGTGGAGGTTTTGCAGCAGTGGTGCTCATGGCGGGGGGTGTGGGGGGTGGCAGGGACATGAATTGTCACACGGGGTGTTAATTGTCACATCTCACCGCACTGCAGAGTAAAGTTTGAGTATGAACCTCTCAGAGTGTGACGGGAGTGTCCTTTCCCTGCGCCTCCCTGCCTTCGGCCTCCTCTTTTCCCCACTGCAGCACACAGGAGACCCCTGCCCATGGCATCCAGCCCAACGGGGCTGTGGCAGCAGACTGGTCGGTGGGGAGCTCCCTGGGGGTCCCGGGGGGTAGTGGGGCTGTGATGGGTACCTGGGGGTGTCTTCGGCCCTTTCCTGCCCCAAGCCCTGCTGCTGCTCCCCAGCTGTGCCAGCACTCCGGGCTCCAGTGACAAGGCCACCACATGTCCCTGCCCAGGGAGCAGCCAGGAAGGTGACTTCAGGCAAACAACCTGGCAGAGGCGGCCATCTCCTTGGCCAGGTGCCTCTGAGCTCTGTGGACATCAGAGATGTGCCAGGAGAGCTCAGTGGGGGCCCTGATGGTGAACAGAGCCGGGAACTGCTGCTGTGCACCCGGTTACTTAGCTACACCTAGAAAGGTACAGCTAAATAACAAGATCGACCTTGAAGGGAGCATCTCTGCAAGAGTTTCTCTGCAAAAGCTTCCCTGCAAGAACTCAGCCTGAGCTCTCCCAGACCAACCAGACCCTGGTGAGGACACCTGACTGGCTCAGTGGTGCGCATTGTCTCTGAAGTGAGATTTGTTTACACCATCCAGTCCTGAAAGCAGTTCACACTCACGCCCAAACTTCCCCCCAGAAATCTGTGGGGTTCAAACCCTGGATTTTGCATTGGTTTTCTGTCCTAACAAACTGTTCCCCACATACTTCTTCGTGTCTCTTTCCTGTGCTGCTGATGCTGCAACCTTGGAGAAGAACAGCACGCAGCACCAGTGACACGAATGCGCCCAGCAGTTTCGGTGGCTAGGTGAAGTGTCCTGCTTTCCTAATGCTCCTGTCTCCAATTAACATGTAGCATTGTTCTGGAACACTACCACAAATCAGAGACCTCTGTGAAAATCCATACTGGAAACCACCACAAACACCTAACCCAAGTTAATCATGCAGGTGATTGGAGTTCTCCTTCCAAGCATTTGTAGATTGTGTTTTGCAGCTGTACTCTGAGGGCCCCATCAGAATTACCTGGAGTTCCCATACCGGAAGAGTCCTCTCTACCTCTTAAAACAATTCTATTCAAGAAGTTATCCTTCAGTTTCAGCTATCACAACTGCTCCTGCTTTACCAAACAATAAAGTATCTGTACCTGGGAAAAGGCAGAGTTAAAGAATGCTTTTTTTTCTCCCAAAAGACTGAGTTTTCCATATCTGTGTGCACACCTGATACTCACTCTGAATGCAGTTACACTAGTAGCACTGACAGCAGTGCAGCATAGACAAGTGCAGGTAGAACAACCAGAAAGCTTGCTCCCATATACTATAGCAAGCGTGCAGCAACTTCATTCACAGTGAAAGACGCGTGCCTCTGATGCCTGGCATCCAGAGTGACGAGACTCAGCACAGCAGTTGTTAGCTAGCAGCACTGACAATCACCCTGTGAAATATTTTCAGCCCTTTAAAACTGACAGTCATACATAGGCAGGGAAAATAACAGGTCCAGTGAGACAAATGGCTCCAGCTGCTGACCTTCCCCAGAGGTGCTCTTCTGCATAAAACCCCAGGCCTCTGCACAAGGGTTAAGTGGCTGCCACACACAGGTGTACACCCCTAGCAGCAGCTACACCAACAGTTCCCCTGCCCAACCATCCCTGCTGGGGGTGGTGTGGGCGCCCCCACCTCCCCTTTGAACCACAGAGCTGTTGGTGTCAGACACCCACCACCAAGCTCTGTACCCCAGCATCCCAGTGCTGACCAGTACAGACTGGTCAGGATGGCTGCGTCGCCCTCCCTGGGACCAGCTCAGGCAAGCACCACCAGCAGCCCGTGCCCTGTCCCCACCTCAGGCAGCAGGATCAGCGATCCCCTGCACACACACACACAAGACCTGTTGCTAACACAGCGCTGGCAGCTCCACCTCGGCCCCCAGCTGAGCAGAGGGGAACAGCCCCAGCAGTAGATGCAGGGAGGAGGCAGAGAGAGAAGGAGGGGCTGGAGGGAACAGCCCAAAGCCAGGCTGCTGAGCCCTGGGGCCAGGGGGCTGTCACCTGCAGCCATCACTACCCCAGGGCAGAGGGGGGTGCCTGCTTCAGGGCTGTGCTTCTTGCACATGCTTCCTTATAGAGCCTCCTGCTGTTCTTTTTAAGCATCTTTTCCCTTCGGGAAGCTCTTTAGCAGAGCTGGGGCCAACAGTTATCTCCCCAGGTAGCAGACCTAACTACCACGCCCAGCCATCACACCTGGGGGGCAGCAGCAATCCAGAGCCATCCCCAACACTCTGAGCACTCCCCAGCACAGCACCACACGGGCTCCTGTTCTATGTGCTGAGCTGCAGCACCTAGAGCAAGCCCCCCAGAGATAAGCAAGGAGAAAGAAAGGAAGGGAGTATTCAGTGCCATACTAATACAAACTCAGCCAACAGAGACAGAACACACCAAAACTGGTTTGCAAAAAGACAAAAATAAAGCGAGGTTAAACCTAAAGACAAAAGAAAAGCAGTGCTCCCACCACCAGGGGTAGCACCCACACAAGGACTCAAGGCAGCCCAACAACGTTGCTCAGACTGAGGCAGAAAAGAAGAGCAGCACCACGACATACCTGCTGAGAAGGCAGAGAGCACTCACAGCACACTGTAGTGAGACACCAGACCCCCAGCCAGAGCTTAAATACAGCACCGGGACCAATGGGGAGGTGTGTGGGCAGCAGGGCCCCAGGTGAGGCCGTCAGAGTGAGGGCTGGATCAGCTGCCACAGCCCAGCAGCTCTGACATCTCCCTGAGTACTTAGTAAGGGTAAGTACTTTTTTTCCCCCCCAATACCACTGTGTGCACACACAACTTCAGCTTCAGTGCATTCTGTCTGCCACCAGACCCATTAGAGGGGGTTGCCTGTCCCCTCCAGCACAGCGTCCCAGGCACGTGTGCAGTCAGTGCGTGAGAGGGATGGCTGAGAGGATGGGATGTTGTTGGCAGATGAAATCATTAAAATGGTTTCCAACTTCATACTGAGTGTGAGGCCATAATTTAAGTTGTAGCAGCGACTTGTGACTGCTTAGCCTGGGCACTCATCAGGGAGAAATCACAGAATTGTCTAGGCTGGAAGAGACCTCGAGATCATCGAGTCCAACCTCTGACCTAACACTAACCAGTCCTCCACTAAAACAAATCACTAAGTTCAACATCTAAATGTCTTTTAAAGACCTCCAGGGATGGTGACTCCACCACCTCCCTGGGCAGCCTGTTCCAGTGCCTCACAACCCCCTCAGTAAGAAGTTCTTCCTAAGATCCAACCTAAAACTCCCCTGCCACAACTTTAGCCCATTCCCCCTCGTCCTGTCACCAGGCACGTGGGAGAACAGGCCAACCCCCACCTCGCTACAGCCTCCTTTAAGGTACCTGTAGAGAGCAATAAGGTCACCCCTGAGCCTCCTCTTCTCCAGGCTGAACAAGCCCAGCTCCCTCAGCCGCTCCTTGTAGGACTTGTTCTCCAGGCCCCTCACCAGCTTCGTCGCCCTTCTCTGGACCCGCTCAAGCACCTCGATGTCCTTCTTGTAAGTGAGGGGCCCAAAACTGAACACAGTACTCGAGGTGCGGCCTCACCAGAGCCGAGTACAGGGGGACGATCACATCCCTAGCCCTGCTGGTCACAGTGTTTCTGATACAAGCCAGGATGCCGTTGGCCCTCCTGGCCACCTGAGCACACTGCTGGCTCATATTCAGCCGACTGTCCACCAACACTCCCAGGTCCTTCTCTGCCTGGCAGCTCTCCAACCATTCCTCTCCCAGCCTGTAGCATCTGCTTGGGGTTGATTGCGCCCCAGGTGCAGGACCCAGCACTTGGCCTTGTTGAACTTCATGCAGTTGGACCTCAGCCCATCGGTGCAGCCTATCCAGATCCTCCTGCAGAGCCTTCCTACCCTCGAGCAGATCGACACACCCACCTAGCTTGGTAAATGTGAGGGAGTAAGGAAGCTCAGGGATTACAAACCAATCGAAAGCAGGAGTGATTATTAACTCAACAGGATCTTAGACTAGCACGACCGGCAGTATTTCTGATGGAAGTGGTGGCTTTGATAGTCCCCCAGGATATCAGAAAGACTCGAGGTGGGATAGTGTGTGTTAGTCAAAACCACAGAATCACAGAATTGTCTAAGTTGGAAGAGACCTCAAGATCATCGAGTCCAACCTCTGACCTAACACAAACCAGTCCTCCACTAAACCATATCCCTAAGCTCTACATCTAAACGTCTTTTAAAGACCTCCAGGGATGGTGACTCCACCACTTCCCTGGGCAGCCCATTCCAATGCCTCACAACCCTCTCAGTAAAGAAGTTCTTCCTAATATCCAACCTAAAACACCCCGAGACAACCCACACTTCCAGGAAAGGTGAATTTGAAATCAAACAAACTCACGGAGGTACAGCTGAAGGACTGAATGAGGACACTCTTCGTAGGAGAGAAACTGTAAGGAGCTCCCTGTTGTGCAGACTGTACAGCACGTGCCGAGGTGCGATCCCAGTTTTCTGTGTTCTTCAGTCTCAGAAGGAAATAGTGGGAAATACAGCGAAGATATTTACCTACAAGAAAATATCGAAAAAGTACATGTTAGGCATAAGCTGGCGATAAGCAAATTTAGTAGGAAATTAGTTTTTTCCATAGGAAGAACAGAAGACAAAAATATCCCGAAGTGAGACTCTTAGGAAGCCATTGTGGCATGGGAATATTCAGTGGGTGTCAGCAAACAGACTCTGACCCATGCAGGTGAGAAAAAAAGCCCATAGTGGAAAGGTTTGTGAGTGACATTTCAAAACCTGGACTGGCCGGCTCTTAAACTCTCCATGGCCCTGCTGCCCTTTCTCTCCATCTTTTATTAGATGAGACTTTGAAAGGAAACTGCAAGGGGGGATGCGGTACATGTAGCAAAGTAAGCGCAGAAGTTCAGTCAGTTCAGCAGTGTGTGTACGCGTGTGTTCAGGATGTCAGGCGTGGGGCTATTTCAGAACAGCCGAGTTCGATCTGAGAGCCTTTAGACCTTCATTAACCTGTTGTGACTTTATGCTGGACAGCCTGCAAAAGGGGATTTCAGCTACAGGGAAACTGTCTCAGAGGCGTGGAAGTCCTCGATGCTTCTAAGCATGTGTCAAAATGGAGCATATTAAAAAAGCAGCCAGGCTGTCAGGTCTGCACAGACGAAGGACTGCTGCTACTTGAAGTGCGGCTGGAGCGGCTGTTTGGTGTTCATTCATTCCTGCCTTCACATCTTACAACGAAAGATGCTTTATTTGCTCACCAAGACTTAGAGGTGAGCAACTACATTGTTTCTACACTTAACCCCATGTCAGTCAGACCAGCACTAGTCTGTTGGTTGTACATCTTTGTCTCATTTGCAGAATGGAGACATCCTTCTCTGAGGGCTGTGTCTTGTTCTCCCTTAGTTAGTACAAACCTTGACAAAAGTTCAAGGCCAGAAATGGGCAGCACCTGGAGACCCTCTGAAGGGTGAGGACACCCCTGTGGGTTCCACCTGTGCTCTGTCGGTGGGCGGTCAGCTTCAGGTGGTGGCAGTTAATTTGCGACCTGATGTCTGTCATTTGTTGTTGTCATAACCCAGGTATTAATATTGAATGTCCTAGTTGTGCACAGTACAGATATTGACAAATAATTTTGTGTTTATTGATCACCTCACCCTGGGCAGCTGCAGCTCGCTGTGCCTCTGGTTCCTGGACAGCTCCAGCCCTGGACACCCCCAGCTCATGGACATCTCCAGCCCTGGGAGTCTCCTGGATGCCTTCAGGCAATTACAGCTTGTGCTTGTTACAACTGCCTGAGCTTTAGCCCACTTTGTTAATCAATCAGTAATGCGAATGTGAAAATTTAATGTCATGGTGGTACACAGCCTAGGTATTGACTAATTGGTTTGCATTGTATTTAGTGGTTAATTAGCCCTGGACATCTGTGTCTCCCCCTTGTGGACAGCCCCAGCTGCATTTCTGCTCCAGGTAAATAACCACAGCTCGTGCTTGTTAACCCAATCTGGGCTTTAAGCGAGGTCATACATCAATCACTTTTGTACCTTGAATATTAATATTCAATTGTTTATTATTATTATTATTATTATTATTATTATTATTATTATTATTATTATTATTATTCAATACATTGAATATTAATATTGAATGTCACCGTTGCACATTGTGCAGACATGGATCAACCTAGTTTGTACTGATCTCTTAGTCCTGGACACGGCTATAGCTGGTGGACATGTCCAGCCCTTGACGCGTTCAGCTTGTGCTTATTTCAACAATGTGGGCTTTAGACAAGGTTGTACATCAATCCCTGTCACAGCTTTAACACTGCACGTGTTGTGTTTGTACGGTGTAAAGCATAGGCTGGCTGGTCTGTATTTTTTCCTTAACGAGCTCTTTGTACCTACAGTTCACGGAGGGCTCCAGCCCTGGTTGCCTCCTGGCTGTCTCCAGCTTGCTCCAGTTCCCAGCCCTCGATGTCTCCTGGATCCTTCCAGCCCTTGATGTCTCCTGGCTCTCTCCAGCTTGTTTCTGACTCAAGCTCTTTAGAGCTTGCGCTTGTATAAAAAAATAAAGTGCTCTTTTGACGAGGCTATAGATCAATCACTGCCATAACCTGAATACTAACACGAACTGCCACAATTGCCCAAATATTGCACAATTACGGGGGTGACCATTGCCCACCGTGTACACCGCGGGAGCAGCACCTTGGGGGGCCACCACAGCCGGACCCACACCCCCGCGGGCGCCCACACAGCCGCCCCCCGCCCTGCTCCCACCCCCCCGGGCACCGCTCACCCGTCTCAGGGCCCCGGCCGCCGGGAGGAGCCGAGCGGGGCCCGCCCAGCCCCAGCCCAGCGCCTGCGCAGGCGGTGCCGCCATGGCGGAGAAGGCGCAGAAGAGGTGAGCGCCGCCCGCTGCCCCCCACCGCGCGTCCCCTCAGGGCGAGAGCCCGCGCGCCCCAACGGTCCTAACGGTCGCAGCGGCCCCGCCCCGCCCCGCCCCGCGCGCCTCAGCCCCGCGCCTCAGGGCCCCCCCGTGTCCCAACGGTCACCGCATGTCCCCCACAGCCGCCCCATGTGTCCCAAAGCCCCCCCACAGCTCCCAACGGTCCCCTCCATGTCCCCCAGTGGTCCCCCCATCTCCCAGCACAGCCCCCATATCCCCCAACAACCTCCCCATGTCCCACTGGACCCCCCCGTCTCCCCATGGCCCCCCCATGTCCCTCAACAGACTCCCCACGTCCCCCAACACTCCCCCATCTCCCAATGGTCTCCTCATGTCCCCCAACAGCCCCCCCATGTCCCCCAATGCTCCCTGTCATGTCCCCCCATGTCCCCCTGTGTGCCCCATGTCCCCCCCTGTGCCCCGAGGGCTCCCCTCATGGCCACCACCCCGCGCTGTCCCCGTCGGTGCCACCCCCGGGCGCCACAGGCACCCCCTGAGCCCTGCATCCCCCTCACAGCGTGAAGATCGCGCCTGGGGCCGTGGTGTGTGTGGAGAGCGAGATCCGCGGGGACGTCACCATCGGTAAGGACGGGACACGTAAGGACGTGGCTGGCAGCCCCTGGTACCTCAGTGTCCCAGGGTGCTGGTGACACCGGGTGGTTCCCGCAGGGCCCAGGACGGTGATCCACCCCAAGGCCAGGATCATCGCGGAGGCGGGACCGATTGTGATCGGGGAAGGCAACCTGATAGAGGAGCAGGCGCTCATCATCAATGGGTCAGTGACAGCCCCGCCGGTCCGGCTGGGGTCGGGTGGGACAGGTCCGACGTCAGCCCCTGGCTAAACTGAGCTGCCCGATAGTTAAAATCCGTTCATGTTACCTTGCAGGTACCCAGAAAATATTACGCCAGAAACCGAACAGATGGAGCCCAAGCCCATGGTCATCGGCACCAACAATGTTTTTGAAGTTGGGTGCTGTATCCTTGCCGTGCTCCCGGGGGATCAGCAGCCCAGTGCTGTGCGAGGGGCAGGGGTGTGCTCTGAAAGTGGTGTTGAGGCTTGCCTAGTGAAATCAAAGCAAAATGTTTTACGTTTTCCTTTAACACTAACCTGTAGATTCGCAGGCCATGAAAGTGGGAGATAACAACGTCATCGAGTCGAAAGGTGAGTTTAGGCTCACTGTCCTTGCCCCAGTCAAGGTGAGTTTAGGCTCACTGTCCTCGCCCTGCTCGGAGTTTTGCTCCTGTCGGTGCTGGGAGCAGGAGGGGATCAGTCACCTGGCGGTAGATGTGCCCATGCTGCAGCTGATTGCATTGCAGAAGTTACACTCCCACTGGCGAGCGCCTGCAGAAGCCGCCTGGGCTGGAGCTGGGTCTGGCTGGCGGCGCTGGGCGGTTTGTGTGTGGGCACAGTGGTGCTGCTGCTTGAGGAAGTGCTCCAGAGTCACCTCAGCTGCGCTCTGCGCCCAGAAGCCCGAGGCAGAGTTCGAAAGGCTGACGGAAGCAGGGCAGAGACATGGGGTTGGGAAGCACCGTGTGGCTGAAGCACCAAGTGGGGCTGCCCGCACTCGGCCCTTGCAGGGACTCCTCTCTTGCTCTCTCTCTTGCAGCATTTGTCGGCAGGAATGTGATTCTGACGAGCGGCTGCATCATCGGGGCCTGCTGCAACGTCAACACCTACGAGGTGATCCCCGAGAACACCGTCATCTACGGGGCCGACTGCCTTCGCCGCGTGCAGACCGAGCGGCCGCAGGTGGGTGCCGCGTGGGGAGCCAGGCTGAGTGCCACCTCCTGTTCCCTGCAGCTCCCCTCGTGGCAGCAGCGAGGCCGAGCCTTAACTCACAGCCCACTTCTTTCCAGCCCCAAACGCTGCAGCTGGATTTCCTGATGAAGATCTTGCCCAATTACCATCACCTGAAGAAGACCATGAAGACCGCGTCCACACCTGTCAAGAGCTGAGAGCCTCCCGGGGTTGGTTGCTGACTGGGGATTTCGTCCCGTCCTTCTGAGCACTGCACAAACGCAGGCAGCTGCTGGTCTCTGCATCCTTTATTCCCTTCTGCAAAACAAAAATGTTTTTTCTCGCTTATTTGTGTCCTTTATTTATAGCCCGCCAAGCGTCTCAGCCCCACTGTGGATCTGTTGTCTGTCCCGCGCACTAACTTGAGTATCACACGTGCTGCTTGGGGAATAAACCAGAACCGGCTCACCTCGCAGCGTGCTTTGTGATCCTTCCTGGCCGGGGGGCTCCTAATAAAAGTCCCTGGGGGCTGTATCAAAGCTGCAACCGAGACCCACAGCTGGGTGAGGGCCGAGGCAGCGGGACAGGGACAGGGACAGTGCCATGGGTCCCCGTGAGGATGTCACCTTCCACTTGCAATGGGCAGCCCTGGCGGTGCCATGTCCCCAAACCTGAGGCACCCGTCCCTCACCCCACCTCCTCAGCCCTGTGTCTCCACCACCGCAGATCCCCATCCCATGTCCCCAGACTCACACCCCACTCCCCCCGCTGCTGCTCCACCCCCTCCGCACGAACCCAGCCGTTTGTCCTCCCTCCCCGCGCCCCGCCCCGCGTCCCCTCCCTCCCCAGTCCCTCCCCAGTCCCTCCCCAGTCCCTCCCGGTCCCTCCCGGTCCCTCCCCGTCCCCCCGCCGGCCGCTCGCAGCGGAGGTGCCGCGGGCGGGTGCCGGAGCGGCCCCAGCACCATGAGCGGCGGCCCCGGCGAGCGGGAGGGCGGCCCCGGCGAGCCCGGCCTGCCCGAGGAGGAGGTAGCGGCAGCGGGGTCTTGGGGCTGGAAGCCTGGGGAGGGGGTCGGGAATGGGAAGGGAGGGGGTTGGGGGTCCCCTGGGGGTCCCCTGGGGGTCCCCCGGGGGCTGTGACCTTGAGCAGGGAGAGGGGGGCAGCAGGGAGAGGGGCAGCAGGAGAGTGGGGCGGCACATCCCAGCTGTGGGGTGGGTGTGGGGTCAGGGCACGGGCACCCCACAGCCCGGGAGCCGTGAGCAGGGGTGGTGAGGGATGCCGGGACACCGGGACATTGGGACATTGGGACATTGGGGCACTGGGACACTGGGGCACTGGGACGCAGCACCCCACGGGACACCCCGAGCATCCTCGGGGCAGAGCAGCACGCGCGGGCAGGGACAGGGACAGGGACAGGGACAGGGGACGGAGGCCTTATTTGGTAGCACGGTGCCTCCGCGCACCCCGCTCGTGGCCCTCGTCCCCAGCCCTCGCCAGCTCGACCCCGGCTGGGGACAGCCAGGGTGGGAAGCTGGGGACATGGAGGGCGGCCCACGGTGGGACCCTTCCCAGCGCCAACTCCTCGCCCATCAGCTGCCCCACCGCCGGCACCAAACCAGCATGAGGACTGGCTACCCGGGCACATGGTCAGCCCCATGGGCGAGGGTCTGACCCCACGGGCGAGGGTCCGGTGTGGCGGAGGTCCCCCCGCGGCGGCGGGCAGCCAAGCAGCTAATCCGCTGGTAGAAAATTAAAGCGAGCGGGGCTGCGAGGCGGCCGGGGTTGAAGTAGGTGATTAAATGCCTGGTGAATGAGTCACCCGGCTCCTCCTGCCTCTCCCCGCCGTTCCCCTTCCTGTTAAAGTTTACCGGAGGAGGTTTGCGCAGGGGCAGGGGACCGTGACCGCGCCGGACATCGCGTGGGGCGCTCGGTGCCCTCAGGGGCGGACGAGGATGGCAGCGCTGCCCTCGCTGCCACCGTGCTCCGGGAGGTGAGCGCTGGCCGTGCACATCGCATGGATGCCTCCGGTCGCTGCTTGCGTGATGAAATCCACCCTGGGCGTGCGTGCGGTGCCCATTGGGTCCCCTCTGGTGTCCCTCAAAGCATTGGCGGGGTGTTGGGAGAAGCAGGGAGCAGCGGTGGGATGCAGAGGCAGGGAGAGGTGTGCCGGAGTTGGGTTGGAGCTGGCTTCCCAGGGCGAGGAGCAGCGACCAGGAGAAAACCTTCTGCGGGACACCAACAGCCTGGAGGGGACAAAGTGGGAGCGTGGTGGTGGCCCCGGTCTGTCCAGGGGCTGTGGGGTGCAGCAGGAGGAGCAGAAGGGCTTCGGGTGGTCCCGCAGCCCCTGTCCCTTCGGGGAGAGGTGGGGGACATCTGCCACCATGTGCCCGTGGAGCCGGTGTCACTGTACCTGACCTGGATTGCAGGTGGTGGAGGTGGAGAAACGCTGCACCGTGGAGGTGCTGAACAGATGTTGGTGCAGCGGGATCGGGGCAAAATGCCTCGTCTGTCCTGCTTGGGCTGCAGGAGCCTCCCCACAGCCTCAACAGGGACTCCAAGTCCCTGTGGCCACCGACAGGTTTCCTGCGAGTCGCCCTGGACCCTTTGGGCAGGGATTTTGCCACCTCCTGCCCCATGCGGCCCCAGGAGTGCCACCAGGAGCAGAGGATGGAGGCTGAGGACCTCCAGGCTGCCTCCGCCCCGAGGCCCTGCAGGAGCAGCTCCTGCTCCCCGTGAGGGCCGGGCAGCAGCTCCCCACGCAGCCTCTCCTTCTGCCCCACTGGCTCTGGGGACGCCGCGTCCTCCCTCCCAGCCTGGCCTCCCCCACAGGCCTCCGACCGTGCCCTCGTTTCGGGGCTGGAAAGCCGAAAAGGCATGTTTTCTTTTTTTTTTCCTTGCTGTATTTTTTTTTTCCTCTCCATAATCCGCGCTTTTCGCCGTCCTCGGCGAGCGCCGCGCTGCAATTCTGCGGCTCGAGACTTGGCCGACCCGCGTTTGAACTTTCAAAGAAAACAAGTCATTACCGCGGAGAAGCCGCGTCTTTGTGAGGCCTAATTTCGGAGTTTTTCTATTTTTTTTTTTTTTTTTTCCGGGGGCCTTTATCTCTCCTATCTGCTGTGCAGCCATGGGGCTAAATTATCCGGAAAGTCAGGCTCGGGCGGGTTTGGATTTCAGGAAGGCAGCGAAGTGGCGGCGGGTGCTTTCTCTCGAGGCCGCGCACAAAATGCAGGCGAGGCCTTGAGACGGATGGACGGACGGACGGACACCCCTCCCTCACTGCGTGTCCCGGAACAAGGGCACGTCACGCTCGCTGAAAGCCCTTGACCCTTGCAGGAAGCGTTTTTCCCCTTCCCTGCAAGCACGGCCCCGGTCACTCGGGGCTCAGCGTGGGCTGGAGGCCTCCGGAGGCCTCCTCTCGGGCGGCGTCCGCAGCCTCGGGGGTGGCTGAGGCTCTGCTCTTGCAGGTGAGGACCCTCTTCGTCAGCGGCCTGCCCCTGGACATCAAGCCCCGGGAGCTCTACCTGCTCTTCAGGCCCTTCAAGGTACCGCGGGACACGGGGCGGCGAGGGGCGGCCGGTGCGAGGCCGGTGCGACGGGCGCTTTTCTCTTCTCTCGCAGGGCTACGAGGGCTCGCTCATAAAGCTCACCTCCAAGCAGGTAGGAGGCTGCGGGGTGCCCCATGGCTTGGGGAACGGGGAGGGAGGGATCCGTGTAAAAAAAAAAAAAAAAAAAAGGAAGGCTGGGGGCACCCCTCACTCCTTCGCCTCCTCTCCCCGCAGCCCGTGGGGTTCGTCAGCTTCGACAGCCGCTCAGGAGGCCGAGGCTGCCAAGAACGCGCTGAACGTGAGTGCCGGGGGGGCACGTCCCTTTGGGGGGGCTGCGGGGGCAAGGCCGGCGGCTCCCCGTCCTCGCGGGTCCCCCCGGAGCGCAGCGTGGCCGAGCGGGACGCCGACTGCCTAATATGGTGCCGAGCCCGAGGACGCCGCAGGAATGCGAGCCGCGGGGCCGCGCGGCGCTCGCTGCCAAGCGCATGAGGTCACGGCAGCCCCAGGCGGCCTGCGGGGATGCTGGGAATAGTGTTTTTTTCTTTTTTCTTTTTTTTTTTTTTTTTCCCCAAAGGGCTCTTTCCGAGGCGGAGAGGGGGGAGCGTGGGATGCCTGGCCCCTCAGTGAGCAGCCAGCCCTGATGCCACCGGCACCCGTCCCCGCTGGGGTTTGGGGTCCTGCGGCGCTCGCCCGGTGCCCGCCGACCCCGCTGCCTTCTCCCCTCCCGCAGGGCATCCGCTTCGACCCCGAGATCCCCCAGACGCTGCGGCTGGAGTTCGCCAAGGCCAATACCAAGATGGCCAAGAGCAAGCTGGTGGGCACCCCCAACCCCAGCACACCCCTCCCCAACGCCGTACCTCAGTTCATCGCCAGAGAGCCCTGTAAGTGCGCCACGGCTCGGGGCAGCGCCGGCCCTACCGCTTGCGCCCGCTCCCCGCCTCCCTGTTGCTTGTGGGGGAGAACGAGGGATTAACTCTCCTTCTTCTTCTCTTGCAGACGAGCTCACAGTGCCTGCACTTTACCCCAGTAGCCCTGAAGTGTGGGGGCCGTACCCCCTGTACCCGGCGGAGTTAGCGCCCGCTCTACCTCCTCCTGCTTTCACCTACCCCGCTTCGCTGCACGCCCAGGTAACGCGGCGCGGCCCCGGCACCGCTCACGCTGCCCGGCTCGCGGCACCCCAAAAACACCCCCCGCCGCCCCGCAGCGCCTCGGCACGGGCAGGGCCCCGAGGGAGGGCGCCGGGGGGGGAGCAGCGCCAGCTGCCGGGAGGAAGAGCGGCGGTAAATATTATTGCAGCCACATACTTCCCTTGTCAAGGCAGCGCTGACAGGCAGCACCTGCGCTCCTCGCGAGGAGCGAGCGGCCGTGGCGTTGCTCCCGTTAGGCGCGGTGTTTCCTCCCCACGTGGGCTCAGGGCAGGTGGGGACGCTCCCCACGCCGCCCACTCAGCCCTCGCCCCACGTGCCTTGCAGATGCGCTGGCTCCCTCCCTCCGAGGCTGGTTCTCAGGGCTGGAAGTCCCGTCAGTTCTGCTGAATGCCATGTGAGTGCCACCTCGCTCCTCTCGGGGCATCCCCAACCCGTGCCGGCGAGACCCAGGGAGCCAAATCCGCGCGGCTGGCCCCAAAAGAAAAGGGGTGCGAACGCGCGCGTGCCCGGGCCCCATCCCTGCCGTGCCATCCCACAGGTCTCAGGTGTGTGATGGCGGCCGACAGTCAGTCTTGTGGGTATGAACGGAGCCTGCCGCCGCGGCTGCTGGGCGCGCTCTCCACACGACCGCAGTGTGCTGGTAAGGGATGCGGCGCTCGGCTCGGGGGGGCCCTTCCCGCGCCTCTCGTTTTCATCCGGGGTAGGAGTTTGGCCAGCCTAGGAATGCCTCTCGGCTTTAAATCACCCCCGTAATCTCCCCTCGCTGCCATTCCGGCTTCCTGCCTTGGATCAACACCGGCCGAATTCCTCCGAAGCGCAGAAACTCGACTTAACTCTGCCCTCCCCAGCGGCCGCCCCTCGCCCCCTAGATAGCACCCACAGCCCGGGGCAGAGTCGCCGCTGCCTCTTCGCAGCTTCGCCTCCCGGCCGGCTGCTTTTGTAACCTCTCCGCCTCTCTTGTTGCAGGCTTGAAAAAAGAAAAAGAAAAACAAAAAAAAAAAACCTCGCACAAGTTTGGATTCCTCCAAGACTTTCCCACAGCCTCTATCACACATCTGCTCTCCTAGAAGAAAGCGAAAAGCATACCTAGTAATAATATTTCCCTCTTTTACACTGTATATTTGTAAGAAAGAGTGTGTTATTTCTGAAAGCATGGTTTGACAGGCAGTGCTGTAGCGTTTGAAAAGTATTTTCAAACAACCATAGGAAAGCAGACTACGAAAAAGGAAAGCGAGAGAGCAAGTATTTTTGTACCAAACCTTCCGAACAGGACAATCTTACACTGGGTTGGACCACGTCTTCTTGTGCTCGACCCCCGACTCGGCGTCCTTCGCAGCGTGCCCCCCGCCGCCAGCTGCACGGCGCAGACGTGACGTTGCGGCCCGTGTGGGCGCCGAGGCGCGTGGCTCGAGGCGCTGGGGCTCGTGGCGCGTCCCGCCGGGGATCGGCGTGCTCCGGCTGTGTCAGCACGGCCCCCGTGTGCACTGACAGTATTAGGGTTTTCCTCCCGGCCGTACCAAACACCACCAGGCGGGACAATTGGGAACGTCCGACGGCGTTTTTTTTATCATGGGGCTGTGTTACTAGCTCGCTGCGCAAAGCTCCGGCACGGTACAGTGCTCGCATCAGGGACGGGCAGAGAGAGCCCACACGTGGAGCAAGGTGAGAATTCGCCTCCTCCTCCTGCCACGGCTGCTTGAAGTTGTTACGGGCAACGTAAACTGCTGTATGAGACACCGAACCCAGTATGAGACTCCGCTCCCCCAGCTGACTGCACGTGCCTGCCGTTGTGCCACGGCGCCGGGCTGCCCCGGGCCTTCAGCGTCCGTGTGTCCGTGCAGGAGCAGAGAGAAGAAGGGAGGCAGCGCGCGGGACGGCGAGCCAGCCAGCAAAGAGACTGCTTGGCGTGCTGGCCTCTCCTCCTCCTTGCTCCAGCAGGAATTTGGATAAGAAAGAGCAAAGCAAAACAAAACAAGAACTCCACCAGATTTCGGTTTCTTGCAAAAGGAGGCGCAAGCCCCGTCTCCTCCGACCGCCTGCTCCCGAGCGGGATTCCCAGCCTCTCTTCCTCCTTCCTCGGGTTTCGTGGGCGGGCTGCAGCACCACGGCTGGGAATTTGGCTGCTGGAGCCGGCCGGGGTGGGGGTGAGATGGGGGGGAAAATGGGAAACTGCTGCTGGGGCTGTCTGTGAGCGCTGGGGCTGGGACTCGAGAGCCAGGCGGCTCCGTGAGGAACGGCGCCCGCGGTCCCGGGCGAGGGCCGGGTAGCTCCTGCAGCAAACAGTTTCCTGTACTTTGGTCTGGGGAGAAGAGAGGAAAGGAGCTTCCCACGTTGTCTACTCCGCTTTTGGAAATATGTTTAAAGGTACTTTTCTATTGTAATTTTTTAAAAATAAAGCCAGTGATTACGATAAGTTACGGGCAGAGCGTGGCGTGCTGTGTACCTGGCGGGGAGAGGGGATGAGGCAGCCTGCGGGCGTCCTGGGGGTGCTCACAGCGACGCTCCCTGACTGCCGCCGCGCTTCTGCGGGGCAGCTGCCGGCCGCCTGGCTCGCTTCGACCTCTAGGAAAGCTGCAAAGCCCCGGCTGGAAGGAGCAGCAGGCTCTGAGAAACGACTCCAAGTTTACAAAGATGTTATCAGTTAGTTTTTAAACCTCCTCGTCTTGGCACCGAGCGCAGAAGCTAAGCTGCGATTTTCCATGAGCTCAGCCGCAGAAGAGGCAAATGTAGCCTAGAGACGACGGGCCAGGATTATTATTTTTTAACATGCGGAGAGTTTTCTAAAACAGGCCCGTCAGCCCAACCTACAAATTCCTCCTCCTTCCTCTGCTCTGCTCCTGCCCCGACAAACGCTGCCAGCTTCCCAAGCCCCCGCCAGCAGCCACACTCCTACGACACCGCTCCAGGCGCCAGAATCACGGCTAAAGGGCAGGAGCACAGGCTGCGAGCTGCTCGGGGTGCAAGGAGGAGGCACGGTGTCACTCGAAACACCCGGCTGGCAGGGCAGAGCGGCGGAGTTAAGCCCCTAAGGTCGGCTGCTAATCCTCCCGCGGCTGCTGCGAGTCACAGCTTTTGTTCCCAGCCACCTCCGGAGGTTTGCTGGCAGGGCCGGGAAGGAGGGGAAGGCAGCGACAGGGCAGGAACACATCGCTCGGCCCGACTGCTGTGAGCACCGCGGTACCTGGCTGACGCCACCATCGGCCAGGAACACAGGTGCTCTCGGGAGCGGGTTCAACACCGCGAGCATCCTGCAGCCAAGGAAGTGACAAAAGCCACCGCCAGGACTCGCCTCCTGCCGGACGGGGCGACATCCACCCCGCGAGAGGAAGCTGGGAACGCGTCACCTCTTGGCCTGCTCGTTTCCTCCACGCCAAACGTGCCGGGCGCTGTGCTGGTGGGGCGGGAGCAGCAAGCATCCCCTTTGCCCGCGCTGACCTTTCCCCATGCGGGCCGGGGACACGTTCCTCTCCTGTGGCTGTCGGGAAGGCCCCGCCGCTGGCGGACACCAGACGGTTGCAAAACATGGCCGGGGAGCCCCGGGACAATGCTGGCAGCCGGTGCCAGGCGAGTCCTGGGGGCACGAAGAGGCAGAGCTGGAAGCAGCAGAAGCAGCTTGCTTCTCCTTGCTTCTGCTTCTCCCAAGCCCTCCCCTCCCCAGCCCCCACGGCAAGGCTGAGCCGGGGTGGGGGGACGCGAGCGGCTCCTTCCCGAGGCGGGGATGGGGCCAGCAGGATCCCAAAGTGGAGAGACGCAACCCAGCACCGGGGGCACCGGTAGCAAAGGGCAGACGGGGCCGGCGCTGGTTGGGAGGGGGGGAAGGAAAAAAACAGGGCTGGGAGAGGAAAGATGAGACAGCACCGGGGTCTGGCCAGGCAGACGTCCACAAAGAGGTGTCCCCCCTGGGACGGATGCAGGCGGGGGCACCCCAAATCCCAGAGATCACCTGAACACTGCTGTCTGCCTCACTGCCAGGCATGGGTTAGGAACCGAGGCAATGGTGGAGGGTAGAAAGCGAAGCGGAGAGATGCCATTAGCAGAGCCCCGAAACGCTGCCTCTGAAACATGGGTAAGTCAACCATTAGCAGAGCCTGGACTTCATCTCCGCGGCCTCCATAATTAATAACTAGCTCGGGAGGGAATCGAGAAGACAACGTAACCGATGGAGACAGGAGGAAATCGCGCAAGTACTTCGGGCCTTGGACGTGAGCCCAGAAGCGCAGGTAGAGCCAAAGAATTAACTTAATGGACGAACGGCCTCCTGCCCTCACCAGCCTTTTCCCCTGCTCTGCACAGCACCAACCCACGAGGCGGCCGGGGCCCAACACGTGGCTCCCAACCACAGTTTTCAGTCAGGGCTGCTTGCTGCCGACACGCCGCACACCACAGCAAGGGATGGGGTCAGCAAGAACCAGGCCCTCCCCAGCGTCCCCACATCGCTCCTGAACAGGGCGGGGGGACACCCAAACTGGTGCAGGTGCAGCTACACAAGGTGGAAGCTGCCCTCATGCTGGGACACAGCCAGGAAGGCTGTTTTGGGGCTGATCCCTCCCCCAGTGACAGCTATCGGCCGCTCACCTTGCCCATCTCAACCAGCCCCCGGGCACGCCTTCCCAGACAAAGCAGCCTCCAGGGGTCTCAGAGGCAGAAACGCAGGCAGGAATTCGGGCCTGGTGCATTAGCAGCGACCGGAAAGCGAGCAAGAAAGCTGGAAATAATGAGATGTCATTGCCGGGGCTGCTTCTAGCCATCCGCAGCTCGCCGTCCCCCCTCGTCAGCAGGTAGCGGGGGCCTGGCTCTCCCTGGTGGCCCGGCAGCGCCTGCCCGTGCTCATCGAAGTGACAGCGCTCGCTGGCTACGGCCGCGTGCCGGGGCTTCACGGCGCTCCTCAGGGCTCCCCGGCCTCCCTCTGCCCCGCTCGCTAAAAGCCTGGAATGATCACGATGAATTATAGATTAGCTCCGGCACAAACCGCCTCATGTCAGTTTTCTCAGTCGACCATGCAAAGCCCTGCTGTTTTACAGCCCCTTCCAGAAGGATCAGCGCGATGGAGGAGGAGGAGGAACAGCTCCTCAGCCACAGCAACTTTTACAACAGAAGCCAGTACACACCCGTGTTCAGAGCTGTGACACCCCTGGGCTATCTATCTTGAAAAAAAAAACACCCAAAGTGCTTTTACTTTGGGGTGAGGAGGAGCAGGCACACATCCAGCAAGCACGTCAAACCTGGAGCCTCGCTCGTGCGCACCGACGGGTTCAGCTCACGCCTCTTCTGACCCACTTCTGCTCTCAGCTGTGTGCGCAGAGGGTGAAACACCTCCTTCCTTCCCCTCTGCTCCCTCGCAGCCACAGGCTCAGGATGCCACGGTGCGAGCAAAAGGACAAGGCAGACAGCAGTGACATACCTCAGAGAGCTCCTGTCACTGCCAGACAGCTCGCTGTCCCCCGGGGCCCTGTCCATATGTCCATCAGCATCACGGAGGGGAGGCTGAACGCCTCTCTGCGCCTGGCCAACCCGGACAAGGTCAGGCAGCAGCTCGGCCAGCACCCTGCGTGCACAAGTCCTTCAGCAGCAGCGCGGACACACGCCACCTTCAGCTGCAGCGGGGCTGTCCCATGGGTGTGGGCAGCTCGTGGCCCGCTCA